AACAATACAGAGTCAAAAAATATAATACAACCATTAGTATCCTTCACTAAAGTTTTTATATTTATTTAACTGCTAACTCAGTCATTTTAGTAACATAATGTTTAATGCAGAAGATGTTTTTCCTTTAAATTATATTCACAGGGAATCATTAAGATAGATTTCACTCTTGGGAAAATAAGAAGCTTTTGGGAACTATCTGTAAGTTTCCTTTTGAAGAACACTAGAAGACATTGTGATCAGCCATCTACAAATTTGTGATAGTCCTTGTTGAATCAATTTCAATGTGAGACCTTTAGAGAATAGTTGAAGAAATGTTCTGTTAGGATAAAGATTTAATTCCAAAAGTGAGATGACAAAGAACCACGATATCAAAAGATTCGAGTAAAACAGTTTGCATCTAACTTAGAATTGAAATAAGTGTCAAGTATAAGGGAAAAAATGCAACCATGCTTAATGTTTTATATATATAATATACATGAGGTTCTGCTTAATCTGCTATATATATATTTAACATGTTAGACATATATGATGTTCTATAGGTGGTTTTCATCTTCAAATTATATTGTATAGTAGAAAAATGACATTTAGGCTTCATTTGCATGTACACTTGCAAATGGAAATGAAGAAATGAGAAAATGAATAATTCCAGTTTCAATTATTTTTCTGAAATAGATGAGTGCTTTAAGGAAAACTAATTTTTATTTGAATCTATTGAAAACTGATACCATTCCCCTACTTTTCTTAATATATGTAAAAAGATCGAAGAGTAAAAAAAAATTTTTCTTGGATATATGAGTTAAATAAACATAAGAAATTCTGGGGATAAAAGTTGAGTACTATTAAGCATTATCTGTTAAGAAAATTTTTCTGGGGATAAATTTGAGTATTATTAAACATCACTTATTAAGGAAATTTTTCTCTTAATATCTTCAATAAGTTATTGTATAGATCACAGAGGATTTTTTAATATCAGAAAGCATAACTCTTAAATCTCAAGACTTTTGCTTAAATTTGGATATGCAAAATATTCTTCTGCACTTATACTGTAATATTTTCTATATATAATTAAAAAACATTTTGACACATAATTATTACTATAACTTAGCATTCTTCGAATTAATTTTACATAGAGTTTATTGATTATAGATTCTTGAGTCTTTCTCGTTGTTTGGCTTCACATAATTCCCCAAAATGTTTTGCCTGCAAAACCACTTTACAATGTAATCTACATCACAAACGTTACAAATCTCATCATAGCAGTTTGCCCAAGATTCTGCAAACATTTTTCCAGTGTGCAGTGAAGCAAAGATAACTGAAATACTATACAGTAGATGAATTTGAAATCGAAATCAACCCAAAGACCTACTGGGGTATAGTAAGGCTTTAGACTTGATCAAATAGGAGCTCACAATGTTTCAATAGAGCAAAGAAAAATTCTACACAGACAGGTTTTTCCCCCTCCACATATAATAAAACTTTAATGAAAATCTCTGGAATGATTGTACTGGCCGTGTATAGAGTATCAAATAGTCTATTGGGAATTAATTGTTTCTAAATGTGATATGAAGAAATTTCCTTAGAGTTCCTTCTGTTTTCTAAAGATACTTTTAATATGTGCTATGCTCAATTACAAGATTGTAAAAATGACTTTTCCAGAGTCAGCTCTTTCTTAAGTACTATTCAGATTTTTACCAATAATGAATTCCAGTACTGAGAAAGAGAATTGTATATGAACTGGACTACAATAAATATTTCCACTTCTTATAATCAAAAAATAGAATGGGAAGTGACCATAAAAATAATTTGATTGATTGGTTGATTTTTTACTTAGTCAAATATTTGAGACAGTAAATAAAAAGCTTTGCATAGTAACTCCTAACTTCACTATCTTCAGTCCCCCTACATATGCATTATAGATATTCTGTTTCTCATTCTTTCTCTTCCCATCCAAGGTCCAGATTTGCACCATTTAAAATCAGATTTACCTAAACACATCTGAGATTGAAAGGAAAAGACAAGAAAGTGAGGATTCCTTGAGATTGTTGTCCTGATGATTGGATTGAGATATAACTGTTCACCAATGTGAATTTTTCTCAACTCTATGTCCAGTTCCTTGTTGGAGTGGCCTTTATGCAAAAAGCTTATATACAAGAACACAGTGAGAATCGTAGAAAAATGTCTCTGCAGGTTTGTTTATCTAGCATAGTGGTCCTCAAAGTGTGATCTATGATCCTTTGTGGGTTTCTGAGAGTAGCTTTCAGGAGATCTGAGAGTTAAAACTATTTTAATGGTAATACTAAGACATTATTTGCCTTTTCCACTAACATTTATACTAGTGATACGAAAGCAATGATGGGTAAAACAGCTGGCAATTTAGCACAGAACAAGTATTAGCAACAAGCTATAGTGATATTTACTGTATTCTTCATTACCATACACTTGCATTAAACACACACACACACACACACACACACATATACACTTGCATTAAACACACACACACACACACCTATTTTCTCTTGAGAATATTCTTGATGAAACAGTAAAAATTGTTAACTTTATTAATCTCAATTTCTAAGTACATATCTTTTAAATATTTCTGTGGGAAGAAAAGGGAAGTACGCATAAAGCACCTCTACTACTTACTGATTTATGATTGACCTGAGGAAAAGTCTTCAAGCAATTGTTTGAGCTGCAGGTTAAATTAGCCACTTTTTTTCATGAAATACCATTTTTACTTGAAAGAATGACTGACAGATGGACTATAATTAATCAGAGTTGTATATTTGATACACTTTATCTTTTAAATGAATGTGTCATCTCAAGGAAAAGAACTAATGTTTGTTGCCAGTGAAAATTAGAATTTTGGAAAATTTGTGTCTGTCCCTATGAACTTTATTTCTCCCTAAAACTTAAAAACTTTTCTGATAAGATCTGTGGTAATATTAAACATGTGATTTTTTTTTTTTTATATTGACTAATGGGATGTGTCAACATTTGGAAGATTTATGTATCTCAATAAACTAGTATTTTTCACATGGCAATGCATGATTTTACAAAATCATGCGTAGGTTAAAAAAAGATCCATTCAAGTCATAAGATAGAACATGGAATGTTAATATAATAGAGTATATGGAGTTTGTTAATATGGTTTCAGATTTCACATTACAACTACCCTTTAAAAACTACTAATTGTCAGGTTTTGGTGTAGTAGTAAAGAATACCATTCATGATTGTCTGAAAAGGCAATTAAAATACTCATTCCTTTTCCTCACACATATCTGTGAAGATGATTTTGTTGATAGACTTTAATCAAACCAGCTTTTTCAGTGCTTCTACTAAGTCAGTCACTACAGAGGTTGAAAAATGTAAAACAATGCCACTCAAAACATGACTATTCTGCATTGAGAATGTAATGTATATGTTAACATTCAATCAGTTACTATTGTTATCTTTAAATAAATAACAAAAAATATTTAAAATTTTCTCAGTATTAATTTCTAACAGTAAAATTGCTAGATGTGATCCTCAAAAACAAAAGCTTTTTTGATCTTCAATACATTTTTAAGAATGTAAAGATGTCCTGAAACTCCAAATTTAAGAACTGTTACTTTAAATATTTTAGAAAAAAATTCTAGCTCAAATTAAAGAAAAAATGCCCTCATTTTAATATTTTACAATGTTATCAAATCTAATAAAATAATTTTGTAGCATTTTCTTTGGTTTTCTCATAAACCAAATTTTCTGTTACTTGCCATAAAAATGAAGATATTTTCTTTTCTGTTTCATTCCAAAAGATTTCTATAATTATCATCCTGAAAGATAATATATAATTATGTCAATTATAATGAGAAAGATGTTATAATCAATAGACTAAACAAATTGTCTTTCAAAGTAGTTTTTGTTGGTTTGGTTGTTCTCTTGTTAGAGAAAGTCACTTGTAGTGACAGTATTGATGCCCCAGAGGAGCTTCCACCCTCCACCTGCATTGATGTTGACTGCTAAGGTTCCACAGCTTTAGCCTTTTTGAAGGATTTCCCTTTACTTCCTGAAGCTGCTTGCCCATGAGGTATAAAGGGCCAGCCCCTCAAAGCAAGACATGCCGTAGGCAGGACTTATTCTGTGGTGCAACTCTTATGTTCTAGAGCTTTTCTAGGTTCAGGCTGGAAACCACTTCCTACCTAGCTCTTTCTCCTTCTCTATGGTTCCTTTCACTTTCCTTCAGATTCTTCCTGGGATTAGTCGATCAATAATAATCCTTTAGAGGGTGAGACAAGAATTCTTTGTCTTAGATATCCCACCTTAGACATCCCACTTTAGACATAATCTCATTTGTTCTTTAGGGTGAGGCAGTAGGGAGAGCAGATGGGGCATTTTGGGTTTCTTAGTTGAAATCAGTGGAGTGAGGACATGCCCATTACAACCACTGTTCTTTTATTTTTTTTCCTTAATTACAGCTATAATTTTATAACCTAAATTTCTCTTCATTCAGATGAGGAGCATAAGGGATTCATTATACAAATAAAGTGCCACTATTCGATTGGTGCTAAGGTGCTAGCAGTTTTGCCTATCACTGCTTTTGCATCATTAGTATAAATGTTAGTGAAAAAGGCAAATAATGGTTCTCAACTGGAATGATTTTTTTACATCAGAAGACATCTGGCAATTTTTAGTTGTCATGAATAGGGGATAGGGTACTACTGGCTTTATTGGCTAGAGGCAGGGATTCCACTAAACATCCTGCATGCACAGAACAGATTCCCCCCACTCCTTCCAAATGAAGAATTATTTGGCCCATATTGTTAATAGTGCGGAAGCTGAGAAACCTGATTAAAAATTTAATAAAAAACTCAATACAGTGTTCATTAATTGAGTAAGATCTTTCCACAAAAACTATTTGATAATTCAAATTACAGAAATAGACTTACTTTATGATATCTGTCTTTCTTAGGAGAAGATACAATTATGTCTATTTTATTTTTCTCTTTTTCTTTACACAGCTTATGGAAACTGATGAAAGAAAAGGATCAATTTCATCACTCCCTCCGCCCCCCAACCCCTCCATGCTCCTGAAATTGGCAAAAGTAATGAAAGCAGAAATTCTGTTTTTTAGTTTCAGAGTTCTGGTTTATGTTAAATTAATTTGACTGAAATGACTAGACCAAAAACTTTAAACAAGTACTCTTTCCACATCCCCATGTTTTTATTTAAGAAACAGCACTGGAGAAAATGTTGAAAAGGCAATAGCTTGTGTTCTTAGAATTTTATGGGGCCATTCTCAGCACTGAGTGTATTTGTACTTATAGCACAAAGCCACTGTGCTTACAAGTAGTTCATGAGATAATTTGCTGTAGAGACATTTCTGTTCTGTTTTAAATAAAAACTTATACTTTGAAGTGTTATGATGCACTAACTTTTAAATAATAAAGCATTAATTAATTAGCCTTTGCCTTTGATCTTGAAGGGCTCATGTCGAATACCATGTATTCATCATGGAAATCATGGACTTTCATTTCTTATAAGTGTTAGTGGGCTGCTGGTTGCATCCAGATATTTTTTTTCCTCTAACTTGTTTTTGTCATAATTGTAGGTCCACCACATGCTATCCTTTTGTCTCAAGGCATTTTCAGATTCTTTGAAAAGAAAGACATTTCTTTTTGTTTTTCTATAAAAGATTTTCTACTTCTAATTATTCGTCTTCACTCCATTCTATCCCCAAATCTGGAAGCAAAAATTCCTTTGGTTTTCTTATTCATGAGTGTGTTTATATATGAACTGTCTCACTTTTACAATAAAAGGTTAATTGGCAATGGTCCTTTTGGCTCAAGAGTTTGTATTTTGTTCTCTGTCTCTATTATCTCTCCTGGCTCAAGTTCAAGCATCTCCTTTAGCATCTACTTCTGTGATGTATCCTGTCTTTGCAGGTAAGAACTCTAGGTGTCTGGTTTTAAGCCAAATATTCTCACCGAAAGTAGAATTGGCCCATAAATTCCTTTGATCCTGTTCTTAAAGAAGCACGTTTTCACTTTCTCTGGTTTACTGTGGAATACATACTGAAAGGGTTTAGGTAATGGATAAAGCATGAATATGTTCCAGGCATTTTGAATGGAAACGTACTCTAAGAATTGAATGGTGGTCACATTTTTTTCCTCTGCAGAAATTACAAGAAATTTCTCAGTCATGTCCTTTTAGCAAATCTGGTAAGTGAATACAATAAATATCAATGGAGTCATGGTCTATTTTGATGCTTTGAAATGTCTTTTTTTTTTTTTTTTAAACAACAAGAACAACAACACAGATTTACAGCTTGAAATGTTGGCAATTGAATATTTCCCCCACTAAATCTCTAAATATAATGGGTTTTTGTAGCACTTTCTAGTTCACAATTCAGAAATGGTATAAAACTGAATTACAGACCATTACATTTCTTGTTATTATTTAAAATATTCATCGGTGATACAAAGTTTACCTATAATGGTCATGCTTTTATGGTTTGTCTAGTAATATATAAATTATAGGTGTTCGCTAGGGTTAGAATGAGATCGCTGACATCAGAAAAAATTTTATAACTCAAACAGTATGTCATTATGGAAATTGTTGACAAGCTGTATTAGAAATAAAGTATATTTCACATTGATGATTAGCTGAGAACATCTGAGGCAGGGACTCTGTCTTTTGCATATCTTACATTCTTTTGTCTTCCATCACATTTAGTAAAGAATAAACTTTACTGTGTAAAAGTCAAAAGCATGGCTTTCTTTTCTAGTTACTGTTTTACATTTATTTTTTTTCCAGCAGGTTGTTGATTTGTATATTACTTATTTCATAGTTCTTCCTCTTTTCTTCCCCCGAAGCCCCAATGTGGTATAGCTGCTACATGTCAAAGGCAAATGATAGATGGTTGCTCAACTTATAAATGCAGCATGTTTTAGTGCCTTTTCATACGTGACGTTCATCACTCATGTCGAATGATGTTATATTATTTACCAGACATTGAAGGGCTACTAGTTTCTAACATTCAAGGTAAAGCATTTGAAGCGTTATGCAAGGCAATTTCCTTCTATTGGGGCAGATTAATAGCCTATCAAGGATATGTGCATATTGGAAATGGTTTATAACTTCTGAAGCCAAAATCTATTTGTGGGGTAATTTTATTATTCTTTTGATGATTAAGTTAGTAGATTTTCACCTTTAATTGCCTTCCCCCTTTTTAGAAGGGGAATTTGGGATGATAGGCTTTTAACGGTCTTCTTGCTGAAAATATCTATGTGTAACTTGTATTCAGGAACCAGATTCTTTCTTTTCTTTCTCCGTTTTGGCAATATTGTTGGGCATCAGCACATACCTAGGGTTTGTGTAGGGGTAGGTAAATTTGTAGCTTGCACTGCAGAGTCAGGGAACACATCTATTTCATTTATGTTCTCAGAGTACCTAATATAATATTGGTTACATGGTGAGAACACAATACCTAAATGTTTTGTAACTAAGCGAATTGACAATGAATGATCTAAATTCTAATTTGTCAATCCCACTTTATCTTTCTGTTTTGAGAAAATGAGAAAGGATATTTTCAAACATTTTGCTAAAATATGATTTTCAGACTCTGGTTTTAGCTTTATAAATTGCTTGTTTTTGGTTATACCATGGTTATACCATAGATGACAGAGAGATGTTTGTGACTCAAAGCAGGGAAAAATAGAAAATATATGTATGCACATGGAAGTGAAGAGGAATTTTCACTCAAAAGGCTAATCAATTCTTTGTTCTGCTTTTGTAGATATGCTTGCTGCATAGGCCGTACCCAAAATTAATGACTCCTCCTTTTTGTTCGTTCTGTCTAAACAACAAATGTAACTGCCTGCAACCCGTAGCAAGTCCCACGTTTTGTAACCATTTGAAGACAAATTAACCAATTGGCCTATGCCAAATAAGCTCTATTTAAACAAAGTTGCAACTGAGCTCCAGGCCCAGATCTTCAGAGTGCTATCTCCTCTGGGACCGCTTGTGTAATAAACTTGAGTTCTCCAACTCTCCAAGTGCTGCTTGGTTTCTCACCAGTCGGATTTTTGAAACATTTCTACAACAGAAGTAAAACACAATCTTTTCATGGGAACAGTGTTGCGAATAACAGTTTCATTGGAATCTAGTTTGCTAATCTAGTACTTTGAATTTCTTTATCATTCATTTTCAGGTCATACTTTAGTTTTATGTCTTATAATAACAAATTAATGGAACATTGAAAAAATCATATATTTTAGGATAATATAGCATTTTAAGTAATGAAGCTTAGACTTTTGTAAGCAAATAAGTACAAATAAAGTGACATAAATAAATGCAATATTATTTGCTGACTTTTAAATGAACTTTAGATTGATTTGGTTTGGGGGAGAAAACCCTTTTCTGTGCAGGCTGATAGGGCATTTGCTGGCATTTCCAAGTGGTTACAACTGAGTGGAATTAATATTTCATGTGCCATTTAACAGGCCTGTACAGATTTAGAAGTTGAAAAAATAGTGAAACAATGTAATATGAATTCATCAGTTTCATGAAGTGAAACTGAAGAAAATAATTTTTGTTTTATTTTAAGGAAATCCTATCATAACATATTTAACTACACAATATTAAAGCAGCATTTTGGAACTAAATTGTCAGGTATGTAGTTACAGGATCAAAGAATGACTAAAGACTGAGGAACTTTCATAGAGCATATAAGAATTTATAACAAGTTCTAACAATGTTGTTAACTGATTAAAAATACTTAATAAGGTTGCTAGATTTACTAATGGGTACTTTTAAAGAAAAAATTGGCAATAAAACAATAGCATTTGTTTAAACAGAAAAAAAAATTTCTTGCATTCCTTCTTTTGAAAGGAAACAGCCGCGTTATGGGTGTTCTCATAGTTTTATGTTGAAACAAGGCACCTTTTCAAAAACTGTCTAGTGTTTCAAAGACCTGTTGAAGAAATAAGAGTGGGTGTGTAAATAAGTGTGCTGATTGCATAGAAATTGTTTCTCGTTTTGCTTAAGTGGTTTTAGAGCTTCTGAAGGGGTATGGTTTAAAGGTTAAATATCTAAGTCAAAGTTTTCTTTCAATAACAATGTATATAAGAAGTGACCTTAAAAATTTCCTTTGTCTAAGTAAGAATTCTGGTCTATGCAAGACTCAATAATGTAGATCAATCCTTATTCTTTAATTTCTAAACAAAAGTCTAAAAATCTTTCATAACATTATCTATTGATATAAAAGATTTAATTTAAATTTATTTTTTTTCCAAAATGAAGAAAATTAGGTTATTAATCAAAGACAGTTTTTAAAACAAGCACTATATTTCCAGAATGACAATAAGACAACTGTAGAGACAATAAGACAACTGAAATTTGAGTAATTTCACTCAAATAACTTGTAATTTAATTGGTAAAATTAGATGACTATACAAAACCATTAGAGAAATAAATGAGTAAATAGTCAAATGGTAGCTAAAGTTTTGAAAAATATATCTCAGATATTCTATTTTGTTATATGCTCTCTGGGAAGCAAGAAGATCATTTCATATTTGGTTAATTAACTACCTTATGAATGTTTGGTTTGACTTAAAAATTAAGCAAAAATAAATAAAACAAAAAAACAAAATAGTCAACAAGTCCCCCTGCCTCTTGGCTAAAAAAGAAAAACAACAATGACAACAACAACAGCAACAACAACAACAACAACGTGCTCAGACAAATAATCATGGAACATTTTTAAAAAGTGAAAGTTTGTGGACATGTAATTAAATTTAACTTCATTAAAAAATAGACAAAATAATCTCAATGGACAGGTTTTTTTAATGAGGTTAAATTCACATGACATAAAATTAACTATTTATATGTGTACCATTCAGTGGCATTTAGTACTTTCACAATGTTGTGCAATCATCAAGTTTATCTAGTTTTAAAACATTTTCATGAGCTCCAAAGGAGAACCTTTACCCATTAAGCAGCCTGTCTCCATTCTATCCTTTTTTATAGCCCTGTCAAAACTAATCTGCTTTCTCTATGTATAGCTTTTCTTAGTCCAGACATTTGATATAAATGGAATCATACATATGTGACTTTTTGTATCTGGCTACTTTCACTTAGCATAATGTTTTCAAGGTTTATCCATGTTTTAGCATTTATTATCCATTCTCTTTTATGGCTGAAAAGTAGTCCGTTGTATGGGTAAACCACATTTTGTTTATCTATTCATTTATTGCACACATTTGACTTTTTCCCACTTTTTAGTTATTGTGAATAATGATGCTATGAACTTTCATGTACAAATATTTGCTTAAATTACCTCAGAGTGGACTATTTAGGCAACCTGGTAATTCTGTTTAATTTTAGGGAGAAAAGCCAAATTATTTTTTACAGTGGCCATACCATTTAACATATCAGTAATGTACAACGGCTTCAATCTTTCAATATCCTCACCAACACTTGTTATTTTTAGTTTTTTAAAATTATTATTATACTACCCCAGTGGGTATGAAGTGCTTTTATTTGCTTTTCTATAATGACTAATGATTTTGAACATCTTTTCATATGCTTGCTGGTTACCTGTGTATCTTTAGAGAAATGCCTATTTAAGTCCTTTATTAATTTTTAATTTTGATTGTTATTTTGTTGAGATGTAAGAGTTTTTTTTTTTAAATATATATTCTGGATACTAGACCCTTAACAAACAGATGATTTGCAAATATTTTCTTCTATTCTATATATTGTATTTTCACACTTTATAGTGTTCTTTAATGCATAAATATTTTAATTTTGATAAAGTCCAATTTATCTATTTTT